ATAAGGCATTCCATAACAAAGGGCCACATTTACCATGGAAACTCGGACTTTTCTTAGCTCATTCTGCCTTTGTTCCAACTAACGTAGGGTAGACAATCAAGAATCAGTACACTGTGTCTTTATCAACTATAGATCATGTCCTATCACAGCACTCCATATGCATCATCAAATCATTTTCAACACAACCAATGGGCAAATGCCAATAATGAATATGACAAGAATATTCTCCACTTTCATTTTTGTCAAAACAATGTCGGCTTTTGGTAAATACAAAAATGCATCTGACATGTGCATCTGACAAAAGGTAAAGCTCAACATATCATTTGAAACACATGACTATGCCCAGTGTTTTCAAGGACATTTGATCAGAATGGTTTGCTTGCTATAATATACTCTTGGACAGTGCACTGGACCCAATACTCAACTGTCTTCCCTAGCAATGCCTACCTGACTTGAATCTGCTTAAGCTTCAAACTAAAATGTAGAAGTCCTGCAAATAAACTTTGATGCGATTTTGCGTCTCCTTCCGTACAAATAATTTAGAAATGAACATGAATGACCAGATTGCTAACTTCAATTCGTAATAGCTGCAACTATTATCAAATTAAACTTCACAATTTCAAAAAACCTTTTTTTTTTTTTACATCATAAGCAGATGATGAGCTTTTTATTTCCTCTTATTTGTGACACACCATATAAGTCAGATGAGTTTCATTGGCTCTTACTCTTCCTTTTTTCCTAAAATGGAAAAAAAAAATAAGTAGAAATAAAAATATAAATAAATAAAAATAAGTCAAGTAGTCATTCGCCTAAACCTTCAATCCCATGATAACCCCATAACTTCAATCAGAAGCGAGATTCAATTTTACTTCACTGTGGGCTAAATGCATTCAAAACACAACAGATTATTCATTATTATGACATTTAAACACTATACAGTATATGAAACAAACAGGACTTGTAAAGAATGTTAATAGTTTGTATACCTGATAAAGTTGGGATATATTCATAGTATTGTAATATAAAGGAACAAAACTATCATCAAAAAGTCCATTTCAACAACATAACAGAGAGAAGGTATTTCTACCATGTAATAAATTCCAGGTCCACTTCACACAACTATGAAGCACTCCTTTGAAACCCATTAAACGGTAAGGGTTCACAGGTCCACTAAAATAATGGCAATAATCAACATTGGATATAAAGCTTTAATCAACAAATTTGCACTTTTTGTTTGACAGAGTTTGGGCCAAATTCTCAGTCACCACTTGAGATAAAGGTCTATATGCGTGGCCAATCAGAGCACTAACTGACTTTTCTCTTGGCCAATCTCTTTAATGAAAAGGACCCTCGTTCAGATTGTCCCTCAAATTGTGACTGAGAAACAGAGCCTTTGTCAACTTTTTATGCACTTGCCCTTGTATTAAATTTTTCATTTACTTTTTTTTCCACACTTGAAGTCACTTCTTTTATTTTCTAATCTTTTTCCTTTAAATATTTTCTTTTCATTTATTATCAGTTTTCAATTGAGGTTCTTATCTAATGTATTTCTTTTCTTTGGCCCCCTCTTTTCTCTAGGGTCCATCACTTCACTCACCGGACTTGCGTGCTGACACGTGTCAAACACTCTTAATTTCTTGTTTTCCTTTAGGGTAAGACTTGTGCTTTGGTCAAAATCAACTTTCAGTCCTTGATCTTTTACAAATTTTCGTTTTGGTTATATTTTATTTTCTATCTTGTACAAACTTCACTGATCACTGGCCACCCCTTTCCATTTCTGCCACAACAATGCCTTCTTCTCCTGGGTGCCAAAAAAAGGTCTTTATGGAGTAAGGGCATAAGGTCCAAAGTTCTAGGAAAAGGGTCATATCTCTAAGGGTAGGGGCTGCAGTCCTTACACTGAGTTACCACACTTCTTTAAGATCATGCATCCAAATTTGGATTTATAAAACACTCATCAAGTTTCTCATCAAATAAAAAAAGTGCTGCTTATATTAAAATATGGGGTGTGAATTAGCCATAATCACAAAAAATATGTTCATTTCCATGCCAGAGAATTCCAGTGTTACATCAGAGAGATATATTCCATTACAATTTGTGCCGTCCCAAAAAATATCACTAATTATGGGAATTCTCTAATGCCATGCAAAAGGTTCACTTCACAGATAGGATTATGGAGTAAAAATAACCCGAAACTGCTTTGTCCAGTAAAACTTAACATAAAGCTAAAAGAAGCAATCATATGTTATACAGAACAAAATTTCCTTGGTTAAATATGTTCTACCCAGGTACACACAAACTGTCTAAACATTCATGGATTACACAGGATGGGAGACTAGTTGCTGCCAGTGCAAAGTTTACGGAAAATACTGCAATGGGGTCTGATTTCTTGGTCCATGAAAAGTTTCAAAAACAAAACTGATTTTCCCTGATATTCATGGAAAAAACTGTTCAGCAAAAAATAATGCTCTCTAGTTGATAGTGGTACTCCTTTAAATATCATATCCTCACTGATATGAAGCCTTTGCAAATATGACGGACAACTGTGCTGATTACTTGTGGCTAATGTAATTTTTTTTCGTTTTCAATAATGGCAGTTACAGATTGACATACTCAAGGGAGGCGGGAAAGCAGAAAGCAATACTGCACAACAAGCAGGATAAAAATAGTTTCCATTTAAGTACTGGGGACTTGACCAATCATAAAATTCTGTCATTAAAACAAATTACATAAGAGATATTTGGATAAAAATAACAGTTCTAAGAATTTCCTTTTTTTTTTTTTCTTTTCAACTAAATCAATATAAGAACAAATATAATTTTTGTAGCTAAATATTTCATTGGCCTGATAAAGAAGGATGAAAACCATAATCAAAAGGAAAATGCAAAGTTGAATTTAGATCATACATATACAATAGCAATTTCTTGTACGAAAAAAGGGTTGGATGGCAAACCTTCATACTATCAGCTCCTGCTAATATAGAAGAACAAAAAATATGACATTCTAATTCGTGATACATAATTTAAAAGCTCATCAGTTACAGTAATAAACACATAACAATATGCAAATATACTTCTTCCTTTTTTTTGATTTCATAAAGTTCTCCTATCTAATTTTGTTGTTTCCTTTCACTATTTAATGATTTCCATTAATAAAATACACTTCTTTTCCATTCTTTTAGTGTATAATTTATACTGATTCAACTTCAGAAAGACAAATATGAACGCTACCTTGAACAGCAACTACAAAAGCAAATATTTATATGCCTAATGCAGATAACCATACAGGCAAGTCCTTTAATACATGATCACCAAATAATTTTTCCGAACATCGAAAAAATAAATAAATAAAAACTCAAGTCGTACTCATATGACAGCCATTTTCCAAAATAAAAACTGGGGGAGGGGAATCTATACTGTCAAATCATGGTCCCAAATGCAAAATGATCTATGTGCTACCTAGCATCTCAATAATATCTAATGTTACAGATCCTATAAAGAAAGAAGTTTCTATTACTGTTCACCAACAAAAATTGGGAACTGATGACAAAATGTTTCGTCTGTTGTATTTTACTGTGTTTATCATTTTTAACAAAATCCATTTTTTGAACGTGTAGCAATCTTTAAAATCTCTAATATTTGAAATTTGTGAGCTTCTATTCTGGGCTCATTTCTAAAAAAAAAAAAACTTTTTTTTCTAATCTTGTCTGGAAGTAAACACATTTTTGTAGACATAGCCAGAAAAAAAAAAATTCTGATGATAATCTTTCCACTTATCTTCCTTCCGCATAAAATCATCTAAACTGACTGATAAAAGACACTGGATGTCATTCTACCTTTGCCTGAGGAAGATTAAAAACAATCTTCTTTTGAACTTGTACCAGAGGACGGCTATAGTCAAAAAATTGAGATACACCTTGCCTAGATCATGCTTCATCGGATATCATGGATACCAGCTTGGCTTTCAATCTAGCATTCCGTTTAGGTCCTACTCTACTGATATCATATATAATTTTGTATTTTTTTTCTCGTTTTTTTTTTTTTTTTTTTTTTTTGCACACACAGACATGCAATACAGTCTATAAAATTCAAAATCCAGAAAATAAAATAAAAAGCCTTTAATATCATTCTTACCGGTGCATATAATATTTGTACCTCCTATCTAAATTTCAGGTATATTTCCAAAAATGCAATACTAGGGATTAATTTATCGGGGTTTTCAAATGTTTTACTTGTATTTAGTTGGGATCGTGGAAAAATAGTGATGTTAACAAATATATCTCAGGTTACTTGTCTTTAGTAAGGAGAAACTGCTACATTTAAAGGGGTAAATCATTAGAAAAATTCATAAAGCCTACATTTACTACAATTAATATCCAATTGTATGTGCCTCAGGTAAACACACGCACATGAAGATCAAACATGGAAAGCTTTAAATGTACGAAGAAGTAACATCAACACATAGCAACTGGAGCAAGTTTGAATCAGCTTACCATCCATCAAATAATTTCAAGTGAGAGAGAAAAAAAAAAATGAACGATAAAAACAAAAAAAATTTTCGTCACAATAGCCACAATATCGGTAATTTTGAGGAATTTAAAAAACCAATCAACTACAAGGACTACAATTCCCACAAGTATTCTCTGTCCTGGCACCTCTCATCTACTTCAGAGAACATTGCCTTTAAACAATGTAAACTTGCAATGAGGTCAGAGAATTATGCATTAGAAGAGAAAGCTGGGTACATTTTATGGAATTAATTTGTGAGTAAATGTATAATTAAAGTCATAAATAATGATTAGTTGAAAATAATGTGCTTTTTGTTTTGCCAAGCAGCATTTTCTGATCACTTAGTGTAAAATGTTTTTTTTTTTATATTATCTCGGTTTTATGTGTAATGCATATACTTTTTTTTTTTTTAATTCTCAATAAATGTTTGTGATGAGACAGGAATTTCCATGAAGTTGTTTCAATTCATTTTGACCAATCATTAATAACATTCTTTCCAAGTATCATCCTAACCTTTCATCAGACTTCTAGCTGTAACCCTTCACACACTCTACTGTATAAAAATAGTAATCAACTTAGCAGTCTATACCATGGCCAAACAAAATATCGTAATGCTTTCATCCATTCCATTCTGGGAAATATCAATCTGCAATTTATGTATTGTGTCAAATATAAAGTGCTGAGAGTTGTACCCATTCTGCTCCGCTGCTTCTTTGCAACATTGATTAAGCTGCATCGTTTACGTTGCTTCAAAAAACAGTATTTTCCCTAACATATTTACACCATTTCAAGTATGTCCTTGGCAGCAGAACTTCAATCTCTTGATCCAGATAAGTATGTTCCTGACAGACATAAGTTTTTAGTTCATTATAAAATATCAGACAGCTTGGAAAAAAAAAATATTGTACTCTAATTGGGTGCTGATTAAAAACACAGCCACTTGGCATTACCTTTAAAAGCCAAAATAATTCCGACTCAGATGGTGACCAGTGTGTCTTCAACATATATTAACCTTTAATTATCTTTACATATATTTAAATTAGGAATCAGGTACAAAATTGGGCAGATTTACACTCTCTTACTCTCACTCTCTTTCTTTCTACACTTGCACTTCATTAGTTCTATTAAGCTACAAAAGACAAAATCTCTAATGCAAAGGTTACACACAAATCCACATTCCCTCCACATTTGATTTAACAAGAGCATTACTTTTATGTTTATGTGGCTGATGTTATAGCAGGATACCTATTCTCTGGCTTCAACCTCCACATTGTAACAAAACTAATCAGTATCAAAGATGTACATCCATGAATCAATCCCTGACATATATATATACATGTATGTAAAAAAAGAAAAAAAAAGTTTTATAAAAAAAATCAATATATCTCAATCCACATTTTCCACTATATAACAGAAAACCCTAAAATAATATCCATAGTAACACTTCCCATCCCATTCTAGTAGTAAGTTGCAAGTAATAACATTTTTTTTTTTATTCAACACTAACTCATCTTGGAACACAAACAACACCCTTTCAAAAAACTGCGAGCAATAAGGATTCACATCCTTGCCTTTGTGGTAAAATCTTTTGTTCCCAAAACAGAACACAAACAAATTTCATTTCCCAAACATGCCACTGGGAACATCGAGGTTGTCACATAGCAGCAGAAAACTAGCAGAACGACAGTGACAGCTCACCGCCGTTCCTCCACTGCGTCACCGCTCGGGTCTTCATCTGTAAAGGTGAAAGTCGTGTTACCTTCTGGTTTGTCTTCATTTTGGGAGGGGATAGAAATGATGAAATCAAAATCTATCTTTTTTTTTTGGAAGGTTCTCCAAATATTAAGAGGTTTAATTCATTCAAAATGTATGAATATTAAGTTACCAATTTGTTCCATTCCGATAAGACCTCTCTTATTCAGGAAATGTACACAGTGCTTCCATAACTTCAATTCTTTGATTCAAAAATAGAATTACCCATAAGATTTTCTATACTAGTTTAAATAAATTCTATTAATGCGCCATTGTCTATCAAATTTTACTTTCTGTGGGGCTCTAATAATGTACTAGAACACATAAAACTGAAAACTTATTTTACTGTAGGTTTGTGTATTCATTTTCCAGTAAGTAACATTTCTCTGTTGAAAGAAAAATCTACCTTATCATAGATTTTGTATCAGAGATACTACTAAATATCTTTCATCTTTGAATAAGGACAAACAAGAAAAAAATTCACCACACAGCCATCAAGATGAAACTCAAGTCAGTGTTGCCAAACAAATGAAGTATTATTCAAGCTAAGTCTCAACACCATTTCCACAAAGTGTAACAAATACACGTCAGCTGTCCTACATTGCAAATCCATTACACAATCTCAGTAGAGCATTCGCTTTCATCCATTATGAAATTATCCATGTTGGTATTTTAAGGTTATTCCCTAACGTTATTCTGCATCATTACCACATTACTTGCTTTTGGATGTGTTAAGTCAAAAACATTAAAAAGCATAGAGTTGAAAAGGAAAAAAAATGTACAAAATATTAAAGTATTAGCAAAACATCCTTAAACAACTTCTAATTCAACTGATACATTACCTGAATATAAAACAAACTGCATAATATCCATTTTTACTTTGCCTATTTATGTTTCAAAACTGCTGCTATGAATACAAGAAAGTATTCATATATTCATTACCTTCCCCTTCAAATCTTGCTTCAAACAACCACTATTACCATAAACATTCTTTGTAAGTACAATAACAATTAAATATCCTTTGTTGGCATACCACAGCCATCATTTATCTCTGACTATTTTCCTCTTCTTTCAAACATTTTTACACAAATGCATAAGCTGTTATTTCTCTCCTTTCTCTCACAGTATTTACCCAATGCAGCACCTACTTTACAGCCCAAACACAACCTCGATTTACATTACCTGTTGCATTTTCTCAAAGTCTAAACATGGGCGGTGCATCTGGTGAGGGCGAGGAGTG